TTGTATTATCATTTACCATTTATAACGGTCAACTTCACCACTATATGAATAATAACCTTAATTTGATAATGATAAAACCTGATAGGAACATAGAAATCAATCAAGTAACCTATACAAATGCAGAAAACGATTGTTTTTATGTCAATCAAGTTTTAACCCGTAATTATGACATGTGATATGGCATGAGGTTTAAGTCATTCAGATCCTAATTGCCATAATAATCATATTTCTTATGCAAGCAATTAAACCACGGGACTCTCCGTGTGTGTGTGTGTGAGTTTTTTTGTTTGTTTTTTGTTTAAGTGGTACGACATTTTTACCAGCTGCTCTGCCCAAAAGACTTGGAATAATTGCAAGTTCTACGGCACACATGGAGTTGAAGTTTTCTGACACTACCCCCTATCCTCTTTCTCAACAAGTAGTTAGCAAGTGATGCCTTCTGGCGGAAACACGAACAACCTCATTTTGTGTGTGTGTGTGTGTGTGTGTGTGTGTGTGTGTGTGTGTGTGTGTGTGTGTGTGTGTGTGTGTGTGTGTGTGTGTGTGTGTGTGTGTGTGTGTTTTCATATGGTTCTAGGATGCTATGGCGCAGGTACACTATGAAGAGGAGAAAATGTTGCCGCGCCTCTCTGCGACACATCATGCATTTCGTAAGTGGATATAATGTGGCGAGGACGGCACGTCGTCGAATTTCCGTTGACGTCAGTTCGTTGCTGTTCATTGTCGACAGACCAGATTTAGGAAGGAGTGTTGAAATTACAACAAAAAATAGTTGATATGTGTAATATGCAGTGAGCTTTATTGTCCAGTGGGGCTCACAGTTACTTTGCCTATGTGATCCAGATACTGTAAATCTACAAAGACATAATTATCTAATTTTGCAGTCAGTGATCCTCTTATTCACAAGCTGGTACTTCTCCTGGCATGAGGGGTACCTCCTGGTATCTTCATGTGGAAAGAAAGCCTCTCCGCTTATGCTGTTATTGTTGGTTTATTGTCATGGCTGCCAGTGTTTCCTCCATCTCAACCTCCCCAGGACAGCAGGATGTCTCTGGATGGAATTTTGCCACACTTTTTCCCCATTAATTAATGATACGAACTCTAACGCCACAGATTCTGTGTTCGCGTCTCCAAATAACTTTGTCGTGATGGCCCCTCTCCTTCGCGAAGAGATGCTGGCCAACTTCCAGTTTCCTAGTTGGATTATAATGCGGTAGGCCTCGGGGACGCTGACTGGAGGTGGAGGATAATCCTTCGTACTATCAAACATCGAGTTTAAGGCAGAGTGGTAATGGCAGCGCTGCGTAGTTCTCCAAGCTGAATATTTAACTTCTTGAATGTTTCTGCAATATAGCAATATAGCAAGAAACAAGACACACGGCTGAAAGGAACACTGAAACATGAGTTCAACTATTCGCGGTATAGAAATAGAAGCGGAAGTTAGAGGGCGGGTAAGGTCAGTGGACGACTTGGTTATGTGAGGACACCAGACTGCCTGAATGCACCTAGCAACACAGTCACGCGACATAGCGTCCGCACGACATTGAGTCTCACACACACACACACACACACACACACACACACACACACACACACACACACACACACACACACACACACACACACACACACACACACACACACCAAGCCCTGAGAAAACAACCCCAAACCGTCTTCGCACACGACTAAAGTACGCTCAGTGGATGGACAGATCATTTCAGACCATGTTGGGGTTTGTAAACTAGGCTGTGCCGGACCTACCCATCAGTGAGGAACATCTCCAAGAGCATTTGGAAATGTCGGTACCTATGCAGAAGGGTCAGGCTACGTGTCTTTAAAGCCTTGATACTGCCAGTTTTGCTGTATGGAATTAAAAACTGGACGCTATCTAGTGCCTTGAAGTCTCGTCTTGATGTAACAAGTCCCTACGCCAGATCATGGGGTACAGTTGGCAGAGACTGACATGGGGCCTGTTACTTGCATAAACCAGGACCGCCAACTCCGGCTAAATGGGCACCTAGCTCTTTTCCCTGTGGATGACCCTGCCCATCAGGTTGCCTCTTTGCGAGACAACCCTGAGAGGAGGAATCCCGTAGGACGACCTATGTCATGGCTTGGGCAGCTTGACCAGACCTATCGCGAGGAGCTAGAGATGGGTCGAGGGCCTGTCTGGAGGTTCATCTCCGAGAGTTTTCTTCCAGCAATGTACTTCGAATGTTTTCAAGTAGTCTTTGGCTTTCGTTCATTCTTTTTGTTATCTGAAATTATTTTTTTTGTTATCCATTGATTTAAGAACACAGGGCACCAGCACATAAAAAACAATACCGCGAACTAAAATGTCGAGGAGACGGCAACGCCCACATTACAAAGGGTCGCGAGACGTCAGTGCCAGTGGCGTGACATTTCGTTGTTAGCATATATACGAAAATATCTCCTGGATACATTGTAGAAGCAAAGGCAACTTATCTGATGCAAAAAGTAGGTAAAATTACCATTGTTGTGCAAGCACAGTAGATCCGAAATCGTGACTGAGGGAAGTGGGAAATTTGAAGTTCCGCCGACTGATCGTTAAGAAAAGGCTTGTGTGGCCTTTTAGGCACGGACACACCAACGTTTTTCTCAGCAGCAGTTTGTGCAATGATCCGCCATTTGAAGTTACCCTGTGGGCGGTTTCCGAACTTGCTGGTCACACAGGGCGCATTTATCTATTGCTTATTCGCTCGGTTTCGGCAACAAATATGACGTCTACGGTTGCCAGCGCGGCCCTCTCCGCAGGTTGTCATCTGCTTTAGATTAGGATCTAAAGTGCAATATCTATTCAGAAATTTCATTAACCCATTGCCGCCGGGGATGGCATGTATGTACATGCCATGTCCACTGTGAGTCGACTTGTTCGATTGTTTTTACACATAGATGGCTACACTTGTACTAAGTATCCAATGAGCCAATTACGAGTCCTGCCTGTCTCCCCCGTTCACCCTTTTCATCGATTTACGAAAATATTTAACGTTATCCTAATTTGCAGTTAAAAATAACACCATCTATATTTATAGCACTAGTAAAAATACGTTTTTTCTCGCCAATTCAAGGAAAGGTGAAATCAGGACTAGCAGAGCCATCTATGGATAGAGTTATTTCACAAAAATATAAAAAATGAGTACTGCATTTCCCCCATTTTCTGTTCATTTTCCACGGCGGCAATGGGTTAACTGAATTATATATAAACATTAATGCTTGTGCAGTTAATTATTTGATTCTTTGCCAACACTTTTACAATGCCCGCTTCTGCTTCCGACCAAGTAGTATATTATACGGACTCAGAGGATAAGTGGAAAAGCTGAAGTTACTGCTGACTTACTGTTGAAAAAATGCATTCATTACTAGTATATAGGCTTGCTATGTGGCCAGTAATCCGTGTCGGAATTTCCCTAAGCCTCAGAATCTCCCATAGCAGTTCTCGATGCAAGGAGTCAAATGCCTTCTTGAGCTCGATGTAGGCTACAAGCAACCCGCGATCGAACTCACGACGGCGTTCCATAATGACCCGAGCGCTAGAATAGGTATATTGTGGACTTTGCCAGGATTGCTCCAGTTTCTGGTAACTGAGTTGGTGGTCACGGATCCATGCAAATGTATCGATGTATCATTTTTTTACAATACATACCGAGAAAAAAACATCATAGCGATACCAATGAAACGCTTTTGTCACTGAGTAGCTATGGGGATACCGATACCAATTCAAAAGTATCAATTGATATGTATCGCCGATATTGCCCATTTCTGTATGTCTATACCTATATATCTATATAGGTGTATGTATATATATATATATATATATATATATATATATATATATATATATATATATATATATATATATATGTATGTATATATATCCGTTATATATATATATATTCATATATATATATATATATATATATATATATATATATATATATATATATATATATATTCATATATATATATATATATATATATATATATATATTCATATATATATATATATATATATATATATATATATATATATATATATATAAATATATATGTATGTATATATATCCATTATATACATATATACATATATTCATATATATATATATTCATATATATACATATATATATAATATATATATATATATATATATATATATATATATATATATATATATATATATATATATATATGGGAGGAGAGAGATGGAGGAGAAATGGATGGTGGTCACAGTCATTTCACATAATGCCAAAATATTTTAGTCATTTCATGTAATGACTAGTTTCACATATTGGCTGTAACATATTTTATATATATATATATATATATATATACATAATGTATATATATATATATATATATGTATATATATATATATATATATATATATATATATATATATATATATATGTATATGTATATGTAAATATATATATATATACATATATATATATATATATATATATATATATATATATATATATATATATATATATATATATGTAAATATATATATATATATATATATATGTATATATATATATATATATATATATATGTATATATATATATATATATATATATATATATATATATATATATATATATATATATATATATCCATTATTGTTTATTTATGCGCACACATGTACACGCACACACACACACAAACACACAATTCATTGAATGAAAATGCCTTTGTAATTATATTCAAGGATGGATTTAATTTAAAAATCCCCTTTTTCAGTCAGGACAGAGAGGAAGACTTTCCATGACCTGTAAAATTATTATATTCCAAAGATGAGAAATTTTCATGAATCCTAGGCTTATACAAACTAGGTACTTTCAATGCTTTCTCTCCTCAAATGTCTAACATCAGAGTTATAGCAATGCATGAAAATAATGGTATTGAAACAATCACACTTAAAAATAAATATAATACACTTTATTAAATGAAATCACCAGACAGGTAACTGTTTTGGCA